TTCAAACAACAAGGCTGCTGGTTCATTTCATTTGTTGCTGCCGCCGCGTGGGTCGCGTGACATTTTCGTTTCATGACCTACCACAGCCATCATCTCCCTACTCCATCCCACCTGAGACTTAGATGAGGTTCATCTGACGATATTTTGAAAACAGATGAAACGCAGTCCATTGTGCAACCTTTCATTATTTTATGGGCTAGGCGGTGACTAAAAAAAAAAAAAAACCAACAAAATCCACTACACAAGCAAAGTCAATGAACCTTTGTCGTGTTTTTCCACAAATGAAGGATGACAGTTTTTGCGTTGAGTAAAACCACCAGTCTATTACTACTGAGCCACAACAGCCAACGCTTAATTTAATCAATACAAAGTTTACACGTGAACAAATAGAAGAAAAAAAAAGGTATTAAATGTAATACATTTTTATATAAATATATATAAAAAACTGAATGGTGAATGTACTTGAAATAAAATTTTAGTAGTTTACTATACTATATCACTGAATATTTAAATGAAATTTCAAAACAGACGGCACTTCATGTGGAAATAGGTTGAACAGCTAGGTCAAAAGCCCCACAGGATTCAGGTATAGCAGTCGCTAATTCTGATTTTTTTTAATTTCGTGCAAAGCTAATGGACGGCTATCTGTGCTAGCTATCCCTAGTTTCAAAGTGATAAACTAGAGGCAAGGAAGCTAGCCAACACCATCCACCACCAACTCGTAAGCTAATCTAATCGAACAGTGGGATTTGATCGTTACTCTTATAACGCACCCACGGCCTCAAAAGGCGGAGCGCGAACTATGTAACCTTGGATCCACAGAATGGCAAATTACACATTAGGCCGTACTCGGGCCCATAATTTGTAAACTACCGATGATGGAGAGGGCAGTCAGCAGCATCCGCCACAAGAATATATTAAGCTATTTGAACCAAATAACAGGATTGCCCGTGACTTTTGTAACGTTCTCATGGTTGAGTGTGAAACATGTGCAATGGCATCACGTCTCGAGCCCTGGGCCGTTCGATGGGCAACCCGATATGCTGAACATATACAAAAAGGTGAGCAAACTATAAATGGTCTTGCTTATAAGCATATTTGTTCAAATATATAATAAAATTCAAATAACAATTATATGAACGTTCCGTTTGGATTCATATATAATGAGGAAAATGAAAGTAATGGGCATCTAAATAATTAAAAAAGTAATGTGTGTGCGTGCTTGAGAAACTTTTTAAGCTTCTTTAAATTATGCAAAATGAGATTAGGAACAGGGACATACGGACAATGTCACCATATGCATAAGGGAGGGGTGGGTGTAGATAGTACTATTATAAATTGCAAAGGGAAAGGTATTTGGGGAATGGATCTGTCATCCTCCAGATCCCCATCTCAGACAATAGTATCTATGTG